ATAGAATAGAATAGAATAGAATAGAATAGAATAGAATAGAATAGAATAGAATAGAATAGAATAGAATAGAATAGAATAGAATAGAATAGAATAGAATAGAATTCTTTATTGGCCAACTGTGATTGGACACACAAGGAATTTGTCTTGGTGCAAATGCTCTCAGTGTATACATAAAAGAAAAGATACATTCGTCAAGAATCATAAGTTCCAACAATTAATAATAGTCGTAGGGTTCAATAAGCAATCAAATCATATTAGGAAACAGTCAATATAGATCGTAAGGATACAAGCGACAAAGTTACAGTCATACAGTCACAAGTGGGAGGGGAGGGGTGATAAGGAGTGATGAGAAGATTAATAGTAATAGAAATGCAGACTTAGCAAATAGTTGGACAGTGTTGTGGGAATTATTTGTTTAGCAGAGTGATGGTATTTGGGGAAAAACTCCCCTTGTGTCTAGTTGTTCTGGTGTGCAGTGCTCTATAGCGTCGTTTTGAGGGTAGGTGTTGAAACAGTTTATGTCCAGGATGTGAGGGGTCTGTCGATATTTTCACAGCCATCTTTTTGACTCATGCAGTATACAGGTCCTTGATGGAAGGCAGGTTGGTAGTAATTGTTTTTTCTACAGTCCTAATTACTCTCTGGAGTTTGTGTCTATCTTGTTGGGTTGCAGAAGCAAACCAGACAGTTATAGAGATGCAGATGACAAGCTCAATAGGGGAGGAATTTCCTTATCAGGAAATGCGATAATATATATATCCAATTTTGCTTTATTCAGGACAGGCATGAATACAATTTTTTGCAAAGTCTGATTGGATAATGCCTTAAAGATCCAGGGAAAAAGAATGAAAAGAAGGAATGGGGAAATTTCAACAGCTCCGTTTGTGAAATGTGAGACACGGCTTTTCACCTACACCTAATTTATGGGCAGGCATGCACCTGTATGTGCTTGCCTATTCATTCCTCCTCCATAGAAACAATACATAACCCCAACAGAGCTTAATTATTCCTGTTACTTCCGGCTTTTATTCTGAAAAAAAAGGATCTTTTGTTTTAACATGGGGAACAGGCTATTTTGAAACATCATAGTGTATACGGGTAATCCTCAACATACGACCGTAATGGAGCCTGCCCGTTACGGTTGTATGTCATGATGGTTGGCTGCAGAAATTGGCGGGGGGGTGGGCAGTCATTAAGCAAATACTAAAGTCATTAAGTGAACCCATGGTTCACGATAGGCATGGTTTTGCAAAACGCTGGAGAAGCATTGGTTTACAGCAAAAGCATCATAAAACGTGGTCACGTAACCACATCACGCTGAAAAAGGCTGTGGCAGCCCCTCAAATATTGGAAGACTGCTATCATGTCTCCCCTGGTCCTTCTCTTTGCTAGACTAGCCATGTCCAGTTCCTGCAACTGTTCATCATATATTTTAGTCTCCAGTCCCCTTAATCATCCTGATTGCTCTTCTCTGCACTCTTTCCAGAGTCTCCACATCTTTTTTATAGTGTGGTGGCCAAAACTGGATGCAATACTCTAGGTGTGGTCTTACTAAGGCTTTATAGAGTGGTATTAGTACCTCCCTTGATCTTGATTGAATCCCTCTGTGAATGCAACTTAGGATGGCATTGGCTTTTTGGGCTGCCGCCACACACTGTTGTCTCATACTTAATTGGTTGCCTAGTTCAATTGCCATGGTGCAAATGCAGAGAATTGCTGTTGCGTATCAGATTTGGGATTTCCTTATGGGCACTTGCTGGGCCAAAGTGAAAGCAAATAGTTGGTCTAGATCAGGGATGCCCAACTCCAGGTCTATAGACTGGCACCGGGCCACGACATGTCAGAAACTGCGCCGTGCAAGCCCCATCCACAGGGTGCAGGCAACACACGAAACCACACCTCCTCTGGTCCACAGAAAAACCTTTCTCCATGGAATCGGTACCCAGTGCCCAAAAGGTTGAGGGCCGCTGGTTTAGATAGGTTCCTAGTCTAATCTTGTAGGGTTCTTCTGATATCCTTATGGTATTTAAGGAACGATGCCAAAAGTGGCTTCTCCACCCCCTCCCCAAATAGAAAATCTTGTTATGTTGCAGAAGTTCTTAGGTTTTGCACATCTATTCAAAGTTGAAGTGCTTCCTTTTACAATCGTTTATTGGATGGTTCAGAACTTCTCGGCCATCTTGTTCATATTCCTCCTGTATACACAGGTAGGGATTTTCTAAGTGTTGCTTCTAAATGTCTACGGAGATGCTCACTCACATCCATGTCCTGGTTGTCCCAAAGGTGCTTTTTTTTTTTTCCCCCACGAGGCAACTGGACTTTCTGATTTTTCTTTGAAGAGGTTTCACTTCTCGTCCAAGAAACGTCTTCAGTTCTGAAGACGTTTCTTGGATGAGAAGTGAAACGTCTTCAAAATAAAACCCAGAAAGTCCAGTTGCCTTTTGGAAAAAGAAAGCACCCTTGGGATGTTGCTTCTGAAAGAGAACAGGAGGGAGGAAAAAAATTCAAAGTCCCGTTCACCATCAAGGTTCATCTCAGAACTTGTTTGTTGGGGAATCTCCATCCAGATGTCATCATGTAAAATGGGAGATGATGACGGTAGATGTTGGGCACTTAGTACCACAACTGGCGAGTTAGACATAGGAAACCAAGACTTCAAAATTGTTGTTGTTTGCCAACGGCCTATGCAGACGGCAGCAGAATCAAATAGTGGGGAAGAACGGGGACCAGTCCGAGAGTCTGGATAGGACTCAGATGAGGGTCCTGCATCCGATGCAGAGATGGGGCCAGGACCATCTGGGAGTGGGGTGCTGACCCCGGAGCCTTCGGAGTCTGGCAACAACAAGGCAGATGGCCCAGGGGAGCCTGTTCCCAGTGCGTGTGTGCACAGAGCTGCTAGAAGGCGAGAGCAGCTGAGACAAAAGCGGCGACTCGGGAGTAAGGCTGGGAAGTGATTGCCCCTCCCATAAGGGATAAAGGACAGGCAAAGATGATGAAACCTTTGCAGGAAGCAAAGTCCTTCGCTCAGTTCAGACTCATTCTTGAAGCTCTTTGTACTTTGGTTGGTTTTTTTTTTTTTTTCTAGTTCATTTGATACTTCTGTTATTGGCAGCACTTCACAGAAAGGAAAGGTGGATGCTTATCTCGAGGGACTGTTTGAGATTCATTACTGGCTGGGAATGAAAACAGTTCCCAGCATTGCAATAAAACAAGACTTGTTCTTAAAATAAGCGTGTGGAAGCCTTGCTCGGAACAAAAATCAAGATAAAGTGAGACGATGAAAAGGAAGCAAGCTCAGAATGAGAAAGGCCTACTGGGGAAGGTGAACGAGAAGATAAAGAGTGCTCAACGACGAACAAATCAACTGACCTTAGAATTCTTGGCCCCACCACGACCGGATTGGGAGGAACAGCTGCGTTGTACGCCTTGCTCTGGCGTGGAAGGAGATTTGTCCGAAGAATGATCCGACCCCTTCTCCACCATGGTGTCTCCTTGGGGGTCCTGTGGTGTGGGAGACCGGGAACGTTTGCGCAGGACTGGGGAGCAAGCGGGAGTACTGCGGTTCGAGTTACTGGCAGTGCTGGAGAGAAGGAAGAGAGAAAAACCTCGGGTGAAAAAAAAAACCCAGGACGGGAACTTGGCTCAGCCAGCCACAGTGGGGAGCAAGCAGGGGTGGGCAGCTGAGGGTTCACGGGCATTCGGGAGAGCCCCAAGCTAAGATTCTGTGTAGTTCAGAGAACCCCCAAATCCCACTCCTGGCTGGTCCTGCTCACCCCTCCATTCCCTTCCCAGGAGTCCCCAGGTGGCCCGTTTTGGGTGCAGGTTAAGTGTAGGGCGCACATGGAGGCTGGGGCAGGGCAAACAATGGCCCACCCGGAAGTTTGGGAAGTGCGGAAATGGGCCTGTTTCCAGCTTCCAGAGAGACTCCGGAGCCCGGGAAGGCCGTTTTCACCCTGTCGGAGGCTCAGGAAAGACTCGGGAGCCTGGGGTGGGCAAAAACACGCCCTCACACACACACCATGGTGCAGGAGGCTGACTAGGCCACGCCCACCATGGCTACGCCTACCCAGCAA